TTCCGGCGTGTCTCCGAGATTATTTCGAATTGCACGAAGTGCTTCACTTCGCCGCCGGGAACTCGATTATGCGTCTCGATAATAATCGGGCCCGATTGCCGTCAATAAAACTTTCGCCCCTATTATCGGTGCCCCGTTTCGACCGCCGTTATAAAACGTTGCGATTCGTACGCTCGGATTTTCCACCGTTGTTCCGTGTGCTTTCCTAACGAGCGGCGATTTTTATTGCCACTCTTTATTTAGCTCGCGTGAATTACAATTCGCACGCACAGTCGCCTACCTGCATCGGTCGTAACGATTCCCCCCTCCCCCATAAAACAATAAGGAACAAACTACGGGAATTCTTTCGAAGCCCAACACGACGATGTGCTTATAACTGTTTAGCTATTGCTCGATCGTAAAACATGGCAATCCAATGCGTCGCGATAATCCTCGATTACCTATTGCCTCTAGAAAAAAGTCGCGTGTTTGTTTCTGGGTAGATCTTAAAAAAAATCAATTTTTCTGTTTTCGGGACCTTAAAGGAACTAAGCAGTCAAAAAATCGATTTTTTATTCGAAAGTAATGCTATTCAGAAATCAAATGCCAAAATTTCATGAGGTTGTGGTGAAAAATAAGGATTTGAACCTTCTAATTTCCAGAAAACAAATTTATATGGCAAGTTTTTTACCTTAAAATCTCCATTTTCCGTTTTTAATCCGCTATTTTCATCATTTTGATTTTTGTTAATATTATAATACGTTCAGTGCAAAGCAAAGTGTTTGCCCTTTGGTTTCATGAGATTGTGGTGAAAAATAAGGATTTGAACCTCCTAATTTCCGGAAAAAATTTATAAAACAAGTTTTTTACCTTAAAATCTCCATTTTCCGTTTTTAACGCACTATTTTCATCATTTTGATTTTTGTTAATATTTAAATGGGTTGAGTGCAAAGCAGGGGTTGTTTCAAGTTGTTTGTCCTTTGGTACATTCGATTCGCTTCATAAAATAAAAATAATTTGTATTTGTTTAAGTGTTCGCTATATGGTTGTTTGACAAGACTTTGCAATAAAAAGTTTGTGTTCGTATACATTTTAAGCTACCAAAACATTATGTAAATGGGTAGTTATTTACACCTAAGTGTTCTTTTTTAATAACTCCTTACAAAAAGGCCAAGGTTCCCTTAAAAGACCAAGATTATAATTATATATAGTGTAAAGAAACTTTGCCAATTTTCAATATTATTTATATTTATAAGTTTATCTGCGGACTGTCGAACCATTTTTCTCGCTACAAAACTGTTCACAAGAGGCAAAGTGTAAAGAAGAAGCCACGTGCAAAACATGGTGGCAGATTTATAGTTGTTTGAGATAAGGAATTTATAGATACTATAATGGATCGATGGATATATTTGAATATTCTCAAAAATCAGTTGTTGAAAGATCAGGAAAAATTGAGATAATAGCTACCATATATTATAATATTCCCAAACGACTTTTTTCACCGCTCCAGTCTCCCGATTAAAATACTACAGAGCATCGTATTGGAAAAGAACTATAAAATAGGATGATATACCAAATAAACAAAGGCAAAAATTCATTTAAATTCCACCACAAAATTAGTGCACTCTATTCCGAGAAGATGAGGAGCCGTTTTAGAGGCAAAAGGAGGCCCGACGGAATATTAACATAACCTGTAATCTAAAAAAAAATAAGATCGCACGAGCACTTTTACGAGATGCATAAGTTCGTCCTTACTTAAACCTAAATATTTCCCAAAGAATAATATAGTCTATCACATAACACTTAACAAATGAACATCGAGCAAAGTTATCGTTTACTTCAATCAAAATTTTTATAAGGTATAGATACTCTAAGTTTCCAAATATCCAAATAATAGTACTCGAATGTCGCCCCGTTGGATATAGAATATCGCAGAACAGTAAAGGGTTGAACTGGAAGGAAACGTGGTTCGAGAAAAAAAGAATTTAAGTTTCTTTGCTCGTCAAACGAGAATACCCCCTTAACGAGCGCCCGTTAAACAACGATTACTAAACAGCCCCGTGTTCGACGGTATAGTTGGATCGAGATCAAAGGATGCGCGACAGCGCGAGCACGACTGACGTTTATCCGTCTTGACAGCACGTGCCAGTGCCTGGTCGGCCACACGCGGGCCGAATTTCTTTTTTGCGTCAGGTGGCCGCGGTGCAACGTAATAAACATATTCATAGGTGGAATAAAGTGGCGCGAGAGGAGAGAGGGGCGGAGACCAGAGTCGAGCGGGGAGGGGGAGGGATGGTCGATCGAGGGGCGGGGGAGAGGGACTTGTCGCATTCCGTATGCAAAGTGCACGGGCCACGGGGACCCGCTTCGTCGCGTGGAAAAAAAGGTATCATAAAAAAATGCAAGGTTACCCACATTTTTTTTTACTCCCTGCCCCGACCAGCAGCTTCGCGGCTGTTGCGGGGTGGCGTCGATCGAGGGGATCGAGGGTGGCAGGACGGCGAAAGAAACGTTGGAGGGGAGTTCGGTTATCGGTGAATAATACCGACGCACTTTTTACGCAGACACCTACGGCTAAGGCTCGTGGCCACTTTGAACCTGTTAAGCGGGTAATTTCGTGAGACAAAACGACCCCCGTTGGCTGGGTGGGGGTGTGGGGGGAAGTCAACGCGAGACACGACACGTTTACTCGTTAGCTTTAATTTAACTCGGAAGAAAGGGATTCTTAGATGTACATGCAATGTAATTGCCCGATTGAATATCACGGAACAATTAAATCACGGTTTAACATACTTTTTCTGTCGCCGGAATATCTACTTTCTTACTTAACACATCTTTTAGTACGAATCGATGTTTGCTAATTATACACTCTTTCGTTACTTTTAATTCTGCTAATTCGTTCTGTTTATGTAGGATTAAATTACACTTGTATTTGTCATTCTCAGTATTTTATTGATACTCTCTATGATCAATTTTTAAATCAGTTGATTCTATTTTTTGCTGTGTGCTGCAAAACTGTTCCGTTTTGACTAATATTACATTATATACACGATAATTTTCTGTCGAGTACTCCAAAATTACTCCGTTCTGTTTGATATTCGTGCTCCAAATTATATTTCTGTTTACCATTTATCAGTATCTTATTCATGTCCAAAGAAGTCAAGTAATCAAATAGACCGATTCTAGGATTAATCTTGCATCGAAATGGCTAAAATTGATTAATGAATTTATGAATTAATGAATGAAAAATTTCGTGTATTTAAAAATTCTACGAAAGCTTTGTTTTTGAAAAAATCCATAGAAAATCTATACAAAAAGTTAACCATATCTTGATTAAAAAAATCGTGAACTCGTTTAAAAAATAGAAAATCGCTCTTTTCTAAAAATTATACCCACTCAAAGCCATCAAAGTATATTGCACGTTCACGGATGAATATTTCGAAAACGAAAGTGAAACGTGCAAGATTACGAATAAACTCCCGATCGTTGGTACGAAACTCCGCGTCGAAATCAGGATTCAGCGTGGATTAGCTCGTATAAAATTTCCCGGGGCAAGTTTTATCGCCGACGGCACGTCGGTGCGAAGGATCCTCAAGGATATCGCGGCGAATTTCGGGATGGTCAGCGACCTCCAGCTGCCGAAACTCGAACAACGAACGCCTCGTAGGAGGCGAGATATTCAATCTCGCGGGCGCGCGGGACGCGTGTCCTTCGTAAATCCTTCCTAAACGTATCGGGCGTAAAGCGAGGGAAAATAAAAGGACCGTGTGAGAGATCGTGGCCGGAGTTGCGAGAAAACGACGTCCATCGGGCACGAAAATCCCGGCGAGAAAGCGCGGACCACGGGGCGGACGGGGCTCCGAAAAATCTCGTCGGATAAAGTTTCGGTGTGTAAGGACAACGCCGAGAGGATACGGACGCGCAAGGATTCCTGTGCCATGCGCGCCTCGCCTCGTCCTTTTCTGGCGATCGTACGGCGAGAAGACGAAGAAGAAGAAGAAGAAGACGAAGCTGGAATAAAGACGACGACGAGAGGGAGGAGGGTGCCGAGGAAGAACAACAGAGCGTCAGGCTTTAGCGGGAGGGAGAAAAGAAATCAAAGGGAGCAATAACAGACGAAGAAGAAAAACGTTCGGCGTCCTGTAGGATTCGTCGTCCTTTTAGACGAGGGGGTGATAGAGACGATCGGGGCGAGAAAGAGAAGGAGTCCGAGAACCGGAGGAATCGCGGACTGTAACAGAAGGGCAGAGGGGCAAGTCAGATCTGGTGGGGGCAAGAAGCGCTCGACGTCTCAAATTTGGTTGGCTGTCTCGAGCTCCTAGCCTCTCTTTCTCGCTTTTCCATCTTTCGCGGTGTCTTTGTTGCTCGTGCACGGAGCTATATCGTCACGGAAAGGGGGGTTGGTGACGATGGAGCTAGGTGGGAAAGGGAGGGCGATCCCCGTGAGAGGAAGAAAGAGACGCGGTGGTTCGCGAGAGGTTCGAAGGAAAAGGTAGGAAATCGGTCGGAGCGAGAGACCGTACAAAGCGGCGTGAGCTGAAGGGAGACGAATGTCATTCTGGTAAGCCGAAGAAGGGATGGGACACTCTCGAGACAAAGACGGACGAAACACGAGGGGGAAAGGTTGAACGGAGAAAGTCCCAGCGGACGACTGACATTAAGAACGGCGAAGGAGGGAAACACGAGGAGAAGGTTGGAGTAGGTGTACCAAGGTGGGAAAGAGAGAGCGAAACGGTTGTTTAGAGAGGAGAAGGGGGAGAAGTCGGTGGAAAGGAGAGAGAGTCGGGGACGTTAGAAAGAGCCAGTGCCAGAGCAAGCAAGTGTCGGCAGGGAGGGGGTGGAGGCGAAGGCGCTTGGAAGGTAGGGGGAGAGCAGTGCCTTGGCGCGAGCCCGAGGACTCGAAACTCCGGAATTCCAACCGACAGAACAGTGCCGGCGGTCGTACGACGCGGGTCTCGAGAGTGTGTGAACAGGATAGAGTGAGAGAGCGAACAATCGCGGAGGAAAGAGGGGCGAGGCGGAAGAGAGGGGAGAGGGACACGAGGTTGTAGACGATCGCTAGAGCTATTTACAATCGCAGTTCGAAGGATAAACCGCTTGCTTGTCTCGTGCCCGCGCGCGTCGTAGCGCAAGTTCTGTGTTCCTCGAGGTGCCGAATTTCGAACGCGCGAAAACACCACCGATACTCGATATACCATAGAATCCACGGTTGGGGGACAGAGTCTGCTAGCGAAAAGTGGCGGAATGGACACGAATACTAGTGAGAAAAGTGAAAAGTGATTCGATCGTGATGACCAATGGTTCGAAAACGAAGAGTCACGGTTACCGTTGAACCGCGTGAATCCGTTCGTCGGGGAGTCGATCGAACCATCGGGAACGAGTGATGGTAAATCGAGCGGATCGTTTCAACATGTAAATAGCACGCGCCTGTCACCATCGTTTAATTTTTTTTTTCTTTTCGTTCCGTTGTTTATCCTGAGTTCGCCCCTTTCGTGAGTTTCGCCCCCCGGAGCACGAGAGTTCGTGGTTTCTTTTGGACACGGCGTCGGCGGACGCGCACCCTGTCGAAGCGGTTTGGAGCAGCCATCGACCATCGGACGGTTGTCTCGTCGTCGTCGGCACATCGTCGAGGCGAAGACGACGATATGCCGCACGCGGTGACACGCTCGACGTCGCACCAGCTGGAGCGCTCGAGGTTAATCTGGACTTTCGTGACTGGCGTACGTGCGATCATATGATAAATGTAGAACACGTTTTGCCCCGCCTTTTTTTCTTTTTTCCGTTTCTTTTCATTTTCGTTCGGTCTCCCCCGCCCCCCCTTCGCAGCACCGGTCCTCTAGCCAAAGTTCTCTCTAACGACGTATCTCACGTGACTACTGTTTCGCGCGTCTTTCGAGGCATCGTCCATGTGCTGCACGCGAGGAAATCCACATCGGCGGTCGTCGACGGCTGAAAGGAGGGAGGCGCGAGACGTCGCGACCTGACGCGCGTGTTTCCCCCGCGACCCGGTCGAACGTTTACGAGATTTCTGGTGCTCCGTTCCACGGAGATCGGGAATAGTGAAACAGAGCAAACGGACCGCCACGCGATACCTGGAGGAACAGATTGTTATCGGGACTTGGTGCGCGCGCGAGCGCGTGTACGCGCGCGTATGTGCGTTGAATATTCGGTTGTGCGAGGTGCGCGTCGCCCGTCTCTGTCCCTTGTATAACGGACAAGTGCTGTGCTCGGGGGAAGAGACCGCGTCGTCGTTGTCTATGCAAAAGAAAGAGATAAGAATAGCGACCGATAGACAATATGAGTGAGATGACGAGTGTCGAGCAGCAGCAACAACAGCAACAGTACGTGGGCAGCAGTTCGAATCCGGAGCATCATTGCAAGGACTGCGGCCTCTACTTCGAGAGCGACAAGAGTCTCGAGGTGCACCTGCGATACCACCAGGAGAACCTGCTAAGCCAGTGGGCGAGCCAGGCGCAGCAGGAGGAGAGTAACAACAACAACAGTAAGGCAGGCAATCACAACAGCCACGTGGGCGTTAAACGCGAGAGCGTGACCGCGCCGGCGGACTCGAGCGAGTCGTCCTCGAGGCCGCCCTCCAAAGATCCAACGTCCTCTCAGCAACAGCAGCAACAGCCACAGCAGCAACAGCCGCCGCAGCAACAGACTGCCGGTCAAAGTTACAATCATTTCCAGACGCCGATGTTCGGCGAGGCCAACTATTTTATGCAGAACGAACCGGCCTATATCCTGCCCCATCATTACTCACCGCCGCCAGACGATACGCAGAACAATGGCGGTGGTAGTGGTGGCGGCGGAAATTATTCGCGCTACCACCCGTATCAGCATCAGCAACACTTTCCACCGGAACGGACCAGCTCCGTCAGTTCCACCAGCCCGAGGAGCCCTCCCATACACTGTGACAAATGCGGCGCGGTGTACGAGGACGCGAATCAGCTGGGCGAACACGTGAGAACGAGCCACTCGAACTCGCCCGGAGGATACCCCGGGCAGCATCAATATCAGCAATTGGGTAGCAGTCCTCAACAGCAGAGTCAGCAGCAGCAACAGATGCACGCGTCCCCGCCCCAGTCCAGCCAGCAGCAGCAACAACAACAGCAGCAATCCGGCTACGACTACAACAGCGGGCAACCCTCGAAATCGGAGGTGAAGCAAGAACCGGAGGAACAGGCCGAGATCCTCGATCTGGATTCTCACAAGGTTCAAACTCACAGGTACGAGGAGGAACTGATGAGGCTTCATCAGCAGCAGCAACAGGAGCTGCAGATGCAGTTGCATCAGCAGCAAGTGTTGCAACAACAACACCAGCAACAGCAAAGGGCAGGATCGCATTCGGTGAGTTCTATGCTGGGTTGGCCACCGGCCGCCCAGCCTCATGATTATCACCCCGGGTTATCGCCAATGGGCCCCATGGACAGTGTTTCGCCGCTCCCAGATCAGGGGCAGTTCATGCGTGGGCAACACATGCCCGTCGAACCGCCGCGACATCCAGGCTCGCCTATCATTACGAGCACGCAACCGATGCCCGGCCACCAGATCCCCGGAGGTCTGTTGCAACAACCGCCCAAGCCTCCGCCGATAGCCAATCAATCGTGGAAAAGTAACGAGGCGCGGCGACCAAAGACCTACAACTGCACCGCGTGCAACAAGTGGTTCACCAGTTCGGGCCATCTGAAAAGGCACTACAACACGACGTTGCACAAGAACGCGGTGAAGCAGAGCAATCAACCGGATCCTGCCAACATGCCGATCAGCGCTCATCATCATCCGGGTAGAGATAACCATTCCGGCGGCAGGAGCGGGGGATCGTCGAGATCGCCTGAATTATCTTCTTCCGGGAGTCCCCCAAACTTGATGGCAGGTCCTTCGGGCGAGGCGGCGAGGGGCCTGCTGCACACGCCCACCACCACCAGTCTCTTCAGCAACAACAATTCCAACAACAGCAACAGCAGCAGCAGCAGCGAATCTTCGGCGGCGGCGGCCCTAACGCAACAACAGCAGCCTTCGGCGGTCCACTTGGGCTCCACAATGGTACCGCCGCTCAATTCGCCGGCCCAGTCCCCAATGGCGGGCCACCATCAGCAACAAATGGGTTCCCCGTCCCCCCAGTTGGGCCACCATCAGCAGCAGCAACAGCAGCAGCAGCTCCATCACCTGCCAATGGGTTCGCCGTCGGGCCAACTTCCGGTCCACCATCCCATGAGTTCGCCCATGTCGCCCATGCACCCGCCGCCGGCGCCCCACCTGAATTCTCCTTCGCCAATGGGCTCGTCCCACCCGCACCACATGAGTTCGCCGTCTCCCATAACGCCGGGCTCGGTCCACCCAGCAATGGCTTCGCCCACGGCGATGGGGGGTACTACGATGCCTCATCAGCCGTACCCAAACGCCTTGCCCCCCCACGTTACAACTACTACCAACATCCCGGGCCTGCTGGAGTCTATCACCATCCAGCTAACTACTACTGGTAATGAGATGCCTATGTCGATCTCTGGGCAACACCAGCAGCAGCAACAGCAACGACAGCAGCAGCAACACCACCAGCAGCAGCAGACTCAGGATGTTTTACCCGGTTTTGGGACCTTCAGCAACCATCAGAGGACCCTGCCAAGTTTCACGCAATTCAACGTTACCGGGTTCTTAATTGGCCAGAATCAACCACAGGCCGTTAACGTGGGGGGGCTAAGTCCGGAGGAGAACGCATCTCCTCAAGATAGATCGTTTGAGTCGCCTGGATCGACGTACGATCCCTACAGAAGTTCGCCGCCTCGATACGAGTCCCTCACCAACATGGACGCTGACATGATGCCGAACACCGACGGCATGATCATCAAGCAGTACGAGATCCAAACCCATCATCTGCCTCATCCGCTTCAGCATTCGCGGGACAACCTCGAGGCGAACAATAATCTGCCGCAGATGATTCAGGCAAAGGAGGAGCTGAATCCGAACATCGGTAGACAATACGCGAAGGATCACAAATCGAAGATCGCCGCGGTGATCACCAAGGAGCATCAGGTGACCAGCACGAACACCGGCTCGCACTACATCTCGCAGGACGGCTTTCACAAGTGCATCGAGTGCGACAAGGTATTCAACAAGGCTTGCTACCTGACGCAACACAACAAGAGCTTCCACTCCGGCGACAAGCCGTTCAAATGCAATCAGTGCGGCAAGAGGTTCCCCCTCGAGTACCTGCACGCGGAGCACCTGCAGAAGCACGCTGGCGACAAGCCGTACAAGTGCGAAACATGTCCGAAGCAGTTCAACCACAAAACCGACCTCAGGCGGCACATGTGCCTCCACACTGGCCAAAAGCCGTACGCCTGTGATAATTGCGGCAAGGGATTCATCAGGAAGGACCACATGATGAAGCACCTCGAGACGCACAAAAAGAAATCCAACAACCACAACGTCCATCTGCGGGCGTGATTCCAAAAGTTCGACCATGCCACGGTCCCCGTGATTGTTCGTTCGAAAGGTGAGACCGTAAAAACGTGCGACATTGCAATCCGAACTTCGCGTTTCATCGATCAGAGACACTGGTACTCGAGTGCACAAACCGTTCGATCGTGATCAAATTTGTATTTATTATATAGTTCTCGGTTAAGGCATCCTTTTAATATCTCTGTCGTCCAAGTTTCCTCCCCCTTGAATCCGCCTGAAATATTCTCTCTTCCATCGATTTCAGAACGACGAGAGAACACACGCATACTTTCGTTTGTACAAAGGAGAAAAAATGACGTTACGTTTGTTTCTTCCAAGCGATCGATCGTCGTTATTCAGAGCCAGAGTAATTGCGCGGACTCGTCGGTGCTCGGAAGGATATTCGTTTTTTGCTCAACGGTGTAATATTTATTTGACCCTCCCCTGGATCAGCGAATCGAGGTATTTAGCACGTCCCGACGAGCAGATTCGATGGTCTGTGCGCGTTTCGAACCGTGACGCGCGGCGAGCTTGTTCGATTATTTTTTTAATTTTTGAACCGTGATTCTCGCGGGTCGCGGTACGCGGAGTCGATCGAGAAACGTCGACGCGAGAACCTTTTTCCGTTCTCGCGTCGGCGTGCTCGACTCCGCGGATCGCGACTTCACCACCGGTTTCCGTCGAAAAATCGCGCGCGCTCGAACACGATAATAACTCTGAAAAACGCGCAACCTGGAAGAGACTTCCTAATGCGACGTCGAACCTTCGAAGCTTATCGATTGTACAAAATATGTTAAATGTATAGGCGTATAATTATTCTAATTATCATCATTGTAATTATCGAACTCAATTGAATATCGTCTAGAAAGTGATTACGATTCATAATACTCGTATTTTATAGCGTATATAGCATACTTTATCGAGGGGGAAAAAAAACGAGAGGAAAAAAATAAATAATCACGGTCGATATATAGGTAATCGCGAAAGGACGCGGGAAATTTCGATTCGCGAGAATTTCTATTCGTGCGACGGTGTGTTTCGCGGCGACATACTCTACGGCTCGTTTCGTGTGTTTCCTTTTATTCGAAACGCGAGAGGGGGAACTAAAATTTGAAATCTCTCGAAACGATTACATTCCTTGCAATTTCGTACATTCCGATTTCCGGGGAACGCGACCGTCGTCGGATAAATTTTCCGCGGCCGCGGTATATTTTCCGTTTCTTTTTTCTTTCTTTTTTTTTTTTCTAAATTTTAAGATAGCCTAAGTTCCGAACTGTACGTCGCCCGGATCGAATCTTGCTCGTGTCTCGACGTTCTCGTACATATCGAAATCGTTTCGCCGCGAAATTCAGTTTTCCAGCGCGGTGACGTTCGTTTCAATCGCGGAACATCGGGGCGTACGTGTCGCGATTGATTACGGGCATAATTCGTTGGATCGATTAATAATCATTCCGAGGTTCCGTTGAACGCGGTGTCTCTAATTGCGCAGCACGATCAATTAATGCCCGATTAATTGCCCGCGAAGCGCGAAATGAGCCGATCAACGAGGCTCGGATCGAGTCTCGCCTTTCTCGCGACACGAGCGAATTTCCCTTCGAGCTACATACAGCTCACCAAACACACACGCACACGCACACGCACATTGACACAAAATAAACGTTGACCTCGCCGTGTGACGAAAATATATACACATCACGCATAACTATTTCCGTTGATCGTCGTTTAATCGATCGGAGTTAGGCGGTTTGTAATAGTTGTTGAGACGCGATTATTTTTCGAATGACTTCCGTTCGTTTGTTATTGTTGCCAGAATGTTGTCTTTCCTGCCACAAGTTGAATCGTTTCATTGTTTTTTTTAAATAATTTTGACAAAAAACGTAATCGTTTTTCTACTGTTTTCTGTTTTTCTTCTTTTTAAATGATTTTGCCGACGTTTAACGATAACCGCTCGAAATAATTCGAGAACGTTGGAATTTCGTACCGCGCGTATCGTCCCGGATCTGTTAATTCTCCAACTATTTCGAGCGGCGCGGCGAAAAAAAAAAAAAAATTGTACATATAAATCGAACGCGATTCCATTGTACTCGCGCTACGAGACACATCGGAACACGCACACACGTACACGTATATGTACACGCACACACGTCTGCACATACGACGTCCTTTCACGAGTTTCCTTTTCTTTTTCTTTTTTAGTTGTTTCGTATAAATGTGACAGAGAAATAAATACGTGAAAGCGAGATGAGATGAGAGAAAAAAAAAGACGATAAATTATATAGCACTCTTGCCATTTTTACTACGTAATATGACACCCAGAACAGACTACCTCAGAGTTCAGGAATTTAACGATGAATGAAAGGAAGAAAGAAAAGATGAAAGAGCCAATGCAATAATAATAATGTTATTAAAAAGTGGGAGAAAAAAAAAGATGAAGAATGAAATGTAGCTGAGCGCGCAACCGCGCGGGCGGAACGACTTACTTCATTGCATTCCTTGTTTTTTTTTGTCCGCGTTTCGGGCGAGAATTCGATAAAAGTCGACGCCCGTATGATTTGTCGCGGGATAAAGTAGAATTTGCAGGTAACGTTCGATTATTTCGTATCGGGGTAAATTTTACGTTCGTTTCTTCGATCGGTCGTCGAACAAACACAAGAGAGATGAATAAAGGACGTACTTTTTTTCCATTTTTCTTTCGCCACAAGAGTTCCTCGAGTCGCCCGGCGGTCGCGAGGCGCGCGTAATAGAACATTATACATATAGAATCTAATATAAACGAAGAATAAAGCATGAGCGACGAGCGAGAAGCGTGTGACGATAAAACGAGAGGAGGGCTCTAGAGATGGATGTACGTTTTAGAGACATATCAAACAGTATTACTGTACACTCAGTTTTTATTATTAGGTAATTGTAAAGTTAACGGAGAGGAAAAAAAAAGGAGGGAAGGGATGGAAAGTAGCGACTCGCCCGATCGAACGAGGAGCGAAACTGCGGAGCGAACGATCGAGAATCAACATATTTCCGATAATCATATCATTGTCAGGATCAATTCGTCTTGCGAAATGCGTTCGGGCGGAGAAAAAAAGACGGCGCGCGTGTAGCGTGCGGTTCGCACGGCGGCCGGTAAAATTAGCGATGCAGAGATAATGCAAAACGAAAAAGTAAAGATTAACGCGTTTTTTTTTTTTCGTTCATTCGATCAATTCGATGAAAGTGAGAGAAAGAAAGGACGAGAATGAGTGAGAGAGAGAGGCGAAGGATGAAAAGATATTTGTAGAGTTAATGATCGCGTTACAAAATCAATAATGATACACTTTGGGCATTTATCAGCGAAATATACGACGGTGATTTCGCGAGCGACGACGAAGCGGCGAGATAGTTTTCCATTTTTTTTTTTTATTGTAGATTTGTTTCTAGACGACAAGGCGCGTTACACTTGTTTCTCGTATTATTAATATTATTATTGTATTATGAATATTATTATTATTAATTATTACGATTATTATCATTATTATTATTACGAAAGACGCGCATCGTTGGTATTTTTTCACTCGTTCCGTGGGCGCGTTTTTTTAGGGCGCGGCAGGATGTTTGTAATTGTAAAATAATTGTTCCAGCACGCGAGTGCAAAATTATTATTATTATATATATATTATATATATATATATAAATATAGATACATATGTGTATATGTATACACACGGTACCAAACTGTCGTTGGTTGTGCCAAAAACAAGAAGAAAAAAAAAAAGAAAGATGACGAGACGTAATAGAACCTTGTGTGCTTCCCCTCACGTGTGATTCTAATTTCGCGGGCATTTCACAGAAAGAGAAGGGAGAGAAATCTATGAAAAAAAGATTATAAATAATAATTCACGAGCGCCAGAGTGAGTGAGAAACGGATTCGAGTGTACGCGCGCGAGTGATAGAGGGGTGAGAAATAAAACAGGTAACGAAAGAAAGGGAAAGTCGATGGAATTCTTATCCGGTAACAGCAAAGTATTTCCGTGCACGCCCATTCCTCGTTTTGTGCCATAATAATGTGCGTCGATGAAAATTTGTAAGCGGTCGAGCATGTATGCGTGACAGTGTGTGAGAAATTTCGTATGGGAGAGAGCAAGAGTCGAATATATTATATATATATATATATATATATATATAGTATATATTATATGTATACAAAATATACAGTAACGTGCGACGGAAATAGAGAGAAGGCGAGACGGAATGAGACTTTTCGAGCATAATCGTGCGACGATCTTTGGTATGTTCGTAAGAAAATAGGCGCGCGAGGCGAAAATATCCGAACACGTGTAACATTTTAGTTGCGACGACACGCGGTTTCTGTTCCTCCTTTTTTTTTTTGTGTACATGTTTTTCCTTCTCGTAATTGCGATACACAGCCGACGTTAAACATAAGACGAACGAGAGAGAAGGTTAAGAGATGAAAGAGAGAACCTATGAAGACGAAGATAAAGTATAATATTTACGACCTGTATTATTTTATACGCGTTTAATTTTGTTTTTATAAATATATTTTATTTCCCAAACAAACACGGCCTCCTTATTTTTCTTTTCTCGTTTAACAATTTCCTTTCTCGCAACGCGTTTCGAATTTAAAGTCTTCGATGGGTTGTTATGTTAAATTCCCACGTGTCTATCGACTTATCGAGTATTTATGTTTTTTTATATTCTTCGTGTAATCGATCGAGTCGATATTTGAAGGTAACGGCAGAAATATCTATATATTAATTTAAACATATCTCTACAAAATATTTCAAAATCTTAAAATCACTTTGCCTTTTGTAATAGAAAGTTTAATAAAATAAAAAGGAGATTTGTTTCCCAAGTAACGCTTGAAATAATCTGTAAAATGAAATTCAAGTTTTAGGACATGGTATTCCTATTGTCTTTGATAGAACTTAATTCAGTAATTGCATATTCTACTTTTCGAAACATCAATTTTGTTGAAAGAAAAATTCAATTTTAATCTATGCATTTTTTTTGCAAAAATAATTCTACCAACTTTTTAATCTGCTCAAATATGATCGAGCACGAGAAACAATGTTCCAAAATATATGATTAATAAATAACACCTGTGCTTTTACGTGACGCGTTGTTTGTCGATTAACTAAATAAATTTTGCCAGTTATTCGCCGCCTTGGACTTGGACGTTCGCGGCCAAAATCGCGCGCGTATTATTCGAGAAAGCGCGCGTTATTCGCGGGTTCGG